TTTACTTTTGCTTCAGCCTGAGGTTTATTCATTACACTTTTTGGTGTGAAAGGGCATTTACATTTGCTCTAAATAGAACTTCTTATATTAAAAACAATCAAGCCCTGCTCATATGCTCGTAACGCAAAAGTAATGTAATGCAGTACTTTCCATAAAAAGTAACTAAGTAACGTAATTAGTTACTTTTTTAGGGAGTAACGCAATATTGTAATGCATTACTTTTAAAAGTAACTTTCCCCAACACTGCAAATGATGACCTAATGTTTAGCCTATATTTGGACTGTATGATCTAATATGAATAGGACAGATTAAACCTATATGAATTTAATATGGCTGGACATAGAAAATGGTCATTTTCACGTTGAAATGCTTGAAATTTCTGTTTTGTAGACAAAATCGCAAAGTATTTATATAACAACAACAATCATAATAATAATAATAGTAGTAGTTAGTAGTAGTAGTAGTAGTAGTAATTTATATATACAGTGGGTACGGAAAGTATTCAGACCCCCTTAAATTTTTCACTCTTTGTTATAGCTGGGTTACAAATTGTAGTCTGTTACTTATAGATTAGCCTGCATAATGACAACTGTACTTAGTAACGTAATTTAGGTTACTCATTTTAGGTAATGTATTCTGACTACTTTTTAGATTACTTTTGAATTACCTTTTTATCAAACTTTTCCAAGCCCTTTTTTTTGTGCGCATACATGTAAGTTTTACAATAACTAACCAACCACAGATCTGAATGTCTCTGTATCCTGCTGTGTAACTATTCTGACTGGGCTCCATCTATCTGCCAGTTTGTCTACTTGATGGATATCATATGCCGTGTTGAGGAGTAACTAGTTACGTAATTTAATTACTAAATAAATGTAGTTGTAAACTTGTAATCAGTTACAGTTACTGAGGGGGAAAAATGTGTAATTAAATTATAGTTACTTCTGAAAATGTTAATGATTACAAAGGGGTTACATCTGATTTTTGTTTTCACACACACCCACATACAGATTTAATTGATTTCTTTCATAAATTGTGTGACTGCTTTAATATATGAGACGTCAATGTTTCAGGACACAGAATAGGACACATGCTTATTCGATAACTGTTTTATTTCCTATTTGGGTTTATGGATATGCTTTAATATACAATTAACTGTTATTTTCAAGCCATTGTTAGATGCCAATGTTTCCTTGATTTCAAAAACAGTATAGCTACTAAACTATTTCTTGTTACTCTTTTAAATCAGTATTTAGAATTAGGGCTGCACGATTATGACAAAAATCATAATTGTCGATTATTCCCTTGAAATTGCAATTGCGATTATTAATTACGATTATCACAATTTACATTGAATGATGTTTATACCATTGTTTGATGCAACTGCATGCCGTATTTTTATATGAAAATAAACAAGCTGAAAACACTCTAACTGAAAAAACTT